GGGATGATTAGACCTCAAGGTTGTCACAGAGTTCAGGTTATTTTGTGTAAAGCCCTTGGAGTGGAATTTGGCATATGGTAAGTGCTCAATCAGTCTTATCTATGGTTATTTGCTTTTAATAGTTTAATTCTCAGAGGATTATCTTTTATTTTTAAAGTTTATTTTTATTATTATTTTTTGAGACAGAGTCTCAGCATGTCACCCTCTGTAGAATGCTGTGGCCCCACAGCTCACAGCAACCTCAAGCTCTTGGGCTTCAGCGATTCTCTTGCCTCAGCCTCCCAAGTAGCTGGGACTATAGGTGCCCACTACAACGCCTGGCTATTTTTCTATTGTTGTTCTTGCAGTTGTCATAGTTGTTTAGTAGGCCAGGGCCAGGTTGGAACCCGCCAGCCTCAGTGTATGTGGCTGGCACCATAACCACTGTGCTACAGGTGCTGAGCCAGTCTTTGGAAATTCTCATGAGAACTTTGCTATGGTCTGTGTTTGCTAAATTGAAGGGAAACAAAAAAATACATAAAAGTCGCAGCTGATGTTTATCAAGCAACTCTGTGTGCCTGGCAGCATGCTAAGTGCTTTACTTACACGTCACTAAATCCTTATTATAGCCCTCTTGATTTGCCCAAGGTCACACAACTCCTAAGTGGCAGAGCTGGGACTGAACTCAGAGGTTCTTGCTCCCAACACTACATTCCTCCTCCTTTAAGTACGTTAAGAAAGTAGTACGTTCCTCCTCCTTTATCTTTGTCTCCTTGTCCTTCAGGTAGATGGGAAATTGCTGTGCTGGCTGTGCACACTTTCATACAAACGGGTCCTTCAGAAGACTAAAGAGCAAAGGAAACACCTGAGCAGCTCTTCTCATGCCGGCCATCAGGAGAAGGAACAGTACAGTCGCCTGAGTGGTGGCAGCCATTATAACAGGTAACCCCAAGATGTGTGAGACAGAGGTGATGTATTAACTCTCACCATCATTCATGGAACATACTATCACGTATCAATTTTCCTGTTTTCTCTCTAGTTACTAGCCAGTAGGAGGAAGCTCGTTTGTTATAGGTGGTATTTTATAATTCCTATATCTTCCAAGGGCAGGAAAGATTTCCATAATGTCTCAAGATTGCCTGACTTTGTATTGTGTCTGAAAGGTTTGTGGACCTTCCTCTTACTTTCCTTCTAGGGTTAGTTCTTACTCTCAGAGTGGGATCTCCCTAGAAGACTAGACATTGCACTTTCTGAAGGATGCAGCGTTTTAAATGCATATTTGGCCAGGAGGTTAATAGTTCTAGATGTGTCCTGGTGGGATCTAGCCAAAAAGTGTCCTTTCAGGCTGAGCACCGGTAGCTCTGTGGTGCTGGCCATCTTCTTAGGGTGCTGGCCATCTTCTCTGGGGCCCAGTGGGTTTGAATCCAGCCCAGGCCTGCTAAACAAACAAAAAAATAGTCAGACATTGTGGCAGGCACCCATAGTCCCAGCTACTTGGGAGGCTGAGGCAAGAGAATCACTTAAAGCCTGGGAGTTTGAAGTTGCAGTGAGCTATGATGCCATGGCACTCTATTAAGGTGACAAAGTAAGACTCTGTCTCAATTAAAAAAAAAAGACGTCCTTTCATTGTTTTAAGCTTCCTTTTAGAGTATCTATAGTATTGTTGAGAGTTCTGGCTCTGAATGGAATCCTGGCTCTGCTAGGTTCCCTGTCGGGCTCCTATCTGTAAATGAGAGAAATATTAGTATTACCTCATGGGTTGTTGTGCAGATAAATTTTATAGTGCATAGTTAGTGATTAGTTTTATAATTGGCATATAGGAAGTAGTCAATACATTTTATTAATAGTTATTTTTTGTTATCATTATATTCAGTAAATGTTATTAAGAAATTTCATGGGCCAGGAACTCTGCTGGGTGCCCATAGTTCAGTGAGTAGGGTGCCAGCCACATATAACGAGACTGGCAGGTTCCAGCCCCCTGCCCTTTTCCCGCCCTGGGCCTGGTAAAACAAAAATGACAGCGGCAACCAAAAAGTAGCCAGGTGTTGGGCTGTGCCTGTGGCTTAGTGTGTAGGGCGCCGGCCCCATATACTGAGGGTGGTAGGTTCAAACCTGGCCCTGGCAAATTGCAACAAAAAAATAGCTGGGCATTGTGGCGGGCGCCTGTAGTCCCAGCTACTTGGGAGGCTGAGGCAAGAGAATTATCTAAGCTCAGGAGTTGGAGGTTGCTGTGAGCTGTGATGCCATGGCATTCTACCCAGGGCGATAAAGTGAGACTCTGTCTCTACAGAAAAAAAAAAAATAGGTATTGTGGCAGGCACCTGTAGTCCCAGCTACTTGGGAGGCTGAGACATAGAGAATAACTTAAGCCCAAGAGTTGGATATTGCTGTGGGCTGTGACGCCACAACACTCTGCCGAGGATAACATAATGTGACTCTATCTCTAAAATGGCTCAGCGCCTTGTAGTTCAAATGGCTTGGGTGCCAGCCACATACACTGGAGCTGAGGG